TTTTGTTTGTTTTTGGGGGGGGGGGGGCATTATCCGTAATACTTAGCCGAGACGGGGGCTCGAGGTGCCGAGAGGAGACGGCTGCCCTGGCACGACCTCCGGAGGGAAGCGGCTGAAAGCACTTTCGGAGCCGGTTTCCCAGCATTTTTGCTCCCGGCGACTCCCTTGCACCCAAAAAGCTGCCGAAGGAGCCGGCGGGCTCAGACCTGGGTGCCCCCAGCTCCCTTCGACACAGGTCGCTGCACTAATTGCGTGGTTAAATTAACAACTTTAATGAAGAACGGGGTGGTGCGGGGGCCACGGCGCTGCCCCGTGCCCGCCAGCCCCCAAACCCGGATCGGGGAGGCCGCCGACGAGCTGGGGGCGGTGGGATTTGGGGCGTGGGATGGCCGGAGCCGGTCCATGGCTGTTTTCTCCAGCAGATGGAAGCATTGCCTGTGCTTGCACGGCGCCATCCCGGTTCCTGTCCCCAAGCTGGCACCCTGGGGTGACCAACGGTGAAGGAAGCATGGGAAAAAATCGGCTTTTGAGACCAAGGCGAGAGTTTCGGAGAGGGTCAGCAGCCCCTTTGCCTCTGGGAGCACGGGGCGGAAGGACAGACGGTCCCCAGCAGCTCTGGCCTGGGTCCCGCCGGCGTCTGGCAGGGACACGGATGGGGACGGCCTCGCGCGGGACCGTGGGAGAGGGGGCACGACGTGAATGTTTTCTTTAGCAGGGGAAAACGCGCGATGCCAGCAGGCCCACAGCAGCCGCGTCCACGTGGGACCAGCTCCCGCCACCCCCTTCATGCTCCAGGCAGCCGAAAAATGAGGGCTCAGCGCGCGCGCGCACACACACGCGCGGGTTCATCCTTCCCGACTTCCCTCTTCTTCCCTCCGCACGTGGAGGGGGGATGCTAGCGTGGCACCCTTCAGATTAAGGGCATAAACGCTCCCTTGCTAATTAATAATAGATTAACGGCGGGGGCAGTCTGTTAACACATGCACATTAATCATTTACCGGGTATTAATCTGCTATTCCCTGCCCTCGGAAAGTTGCTTTAGCATCGCTTCTGAGGTGTTTGACAGGGCTGGCAGGGGCGTTTGCCGGGGAAGCGATGGCAAAGCCAAACCCACCTATTAATACTCGCTCGGGAGCCGGAGCCCTGCTCTGAGCCGTGCCCGAGGCGCTTCGGGTCCCTCACCGACGCAGAAACCTGAACGTGGGATGTTATCCCCCCTGAATGGGGGGGCTGCTGCTTCTGCGATGCCAGCCGTCACCGCTACAAAATCAGGAGCTTTTACTTAATAGTTTGTTTGTCCGTGGACGTTTGGCTCGATCCAGCTCATTCATTTTTAAAGGTGGCTGCTCAGCCTTCACGAAACCCCCCTATTAGCCAGCATGAAAAAGCTCCCTGCAGTTTGTCACGTCCGGATTCCCTGCCCGAGCCGCTGCCTCCCCAGCGCTGCACAGCCCTGCGCGCTGCTCCCGTCTCCGGACCCTGCGCACGGCGCTGCATAAATCCACGGGGTGATTAATGCCCGCCAGGATGCCCTCCCCGCTGCCAGGAGAGGCTAAAATCCCCGGGGCACCCGGCTGCTCTGCACCCCGCCG